TCGGATAAATAAAATGCAGGGCGCCTGGGTGGCTCAGTCGCTTAAGCACCGACTCTTGATTTCGGCTCAGGTCTTGATCTTAGGGTTGTGAGATTGAGCCCCGTGTTGGGCTCTGTACTCAGCAAGGAATCGCTTGAGACTCTCTCTCTCTCCTCTCCCTCTGCCCCTCCCCACACCTGTGCTAAATAAATAAATAAATAAAAGCTTTAAAAAAATAAAAATAAAATGGAACAATTGTAACAATATACTGTAAAGAAATTGTGTGAATGTGGTCTCTCTTTCCTCAAATATCTTATTGTACTATACTTACCTTTCCTTTTGTGATGACATGAGTTGTTATAATGCCTACGTGATGAGATGAAGTGAGGTGAATGACTAAGCACTGTGACATAACATGAGGCTACTCTTGACCTTCTGACAATAGAGACTGGGATTGGCTGTGGGTAACTGAAACCGCAGAAAGTAAAACTGCAGATAAGGGGGACTACTGCAATAAGAAAATAGAGGCAATCAAATCAAATAAAGGCAAAGTCTTTTAAATTTTTGTCTCCATTATCCCATTGCTCCCAAATGTATCACTACAAGGGGCAGATTCCGGTTTTGTGATGCCTGAGCATATACAGTTGGGAAAGGAGGAATTAAAAAAAAAAGAATACACAGAAATTTACCTTTGTAAATTTTATAAAAACAGATGACCATGTTATATCATTGCCGTGATCCCTCCTATGGCCCCTAGGAGAAGCCTGTGAAAGTGCGGGTGGAGGAAGGGAGCTGGAATTTCAGCAGCTTTTGATAGGCACTCTCTTTCTCCCTTATCCGGAAGTGGTGGTCCCCCTCCTCCTCCTATCCAGGGCCAATCCATCCAGCACTCTCCCTCTCTCTTCTTCTCTCCCTTTCTCACTTCCTTCATTCCTTCTTTTCCTAAACAAAATCCCACCACATAGAACATACAGTTCTCTAACTTGCTCTTTGATTAACAGTATATTATGTCTATACTTCCAAATGAATACATATAAATCTACATAATTCTTTTTAACAGCTGTATAGTATTCCACAATGAGGATATACAGTTGTCTACTCAACTATTCCCTATTGAAATGTGTTCAGGTTTTTAAAAATTAGACTGAACCATATAAAACTACCATATTTGTAGGCTTGTTTTTTTTTGTTTTTTGCTTTGTTCATTTTTTTTTTTTGGTTTATTTATTTATTTTAGAGCAAGGGGGGAGGGAAAGAGGGAGAGGGAGAGAGAATCTCAAGCAGACTCCCGGCTGAGCATGGAACCTGACATGGGGTTCGATCCCATGACCTCGAGATCATGAACTGAGCCGTAATTGAGAGTCAGACGCTTAACCAACTGAGCCACCCAGGCGCCCCTGTTTTGTTCATTTTCTATTACAATGTTATAGTAAATATCTGTGTACACATATCTCTGTAAACTTTTGTTCCTGTGGATAAATTTCAAGAGGTGGGATGCTAGTTTAGAAGGTGTGTATAAGGCAAAAGATTTTACTCCTCGATTGCATCCCTAAAATGTTGGCATAATGTATGCTCCCATCAGTGACCTTTTTGGAAGTTGTAAGTCACAGTGACCTCATTTCAGTGCTTCTCATAGGAGACTTCTCCACCGTACCCTGTATTTGCCATTATTTTTTAAAAAATATTTTATTTATTTATTTGAGACAGAGAGAGAGAGCAGAGGGAAGAGCAGAAGGAGAGGGAGATAATTTCCAGCAGACTTCCCACTGAGCATGGAGCCCAACTCAGGGCTGGATCCCATGACCCTGAGACATGGCCTGAGCTGATCCCTCCATTTGTTCCTAGATATTTGTACTCCACATGAATCCTCTCGCTTACTTTTCTAGTCACACTAACTGCTCTAAGTAAGGGCAGAGGTTATGGCTTAAGTAAGTAAGTAAGTAAGGTTATGGTTTAAGTAGGGTTATGGGTTCAGGTATAATCTTTACCCTTAGCCCACAGTGAAGTGGCCCAAAGTTGCCTTCACCTGGATTAGAAAATGCCTTCCCTTCCTGATGTCTTACTGTCATCATCCAGAAAACTGTGGTAATAACTATTCAATCACTCTTCAATATTCTACAGTACATTCCTGGATTGTGCGGTGTGCAAGCTCCAAAATGATCACTGAACAGCTCTATTTTCTATTCCTCTCCTGAGTCCAAACTTCTACATCAAAACTGCATACTGGCTATCTCCAGCTGGATGTTTTTCAGATAGGACCAATATAAAAGACCCATTGTTTAACTTATCATCACCTTTTTTGAAATCCTCCTTATTTATGCATTTCTTTTCTTAGTAAATGAGACTCTCATTCACTTGGGTGCATAACTTAGAAACCTGGAACCTCATCCTAGACTACTTCTCTCACTCTTCCTCTCTATCTCCATCTCTCTCAATTCACATCTGATAGGTTACCAAGTCCTGCGGTTTCCACCCATATTCCTCAAATCCATGACTGATCTCTTTTCAATCCCCAATGTTGCTGTCCTGACCATCTCTTCCACAGACTAAAAATAACTTCCTCTTTGGTCTTCCTACTTTTTGCCTTGCCTCCCTTCTATTAGACACACTGGGGTCAGAGAAATTATTTAACATGCAAATCAGTTCTCTACCATGACAAAAATGCTTCAATGTCCACACTGTCAACAGGCTAAAATCTAAACTTCTAAGCATGACTTAAAAAGCTATTTATTATCCAGAGGTGCCTAGGTGGCTCAGGCTGTTGGGTGTCTGCCTTAGGCTCCGGTCGTGATTCCAGTGTCCTGGGATCAAGCCCACATCAGGCTCCCTGCTCAGCGGGGAGCCTGTTTATCCCTCTCCCACTCCCCCTGTTTGTGTTCCCTCTCTATGTCTCTATCTGTCAAATAAATAAATAAAATCTTTAAAAATAAAGCTATTTATTATCCAATATCTACTTAATGGTCTGCCTCATTTTCTGACATTCTCTAGAAGCACCCCATGCTTCAGCTATATGGATCTACTTTCAAATCCCCAACATGCCAAGCTCTCTAATAATTCAATGCCTTTGCACCTGCTACCCTTCTGCTTGGAATTCCTTGTCAGTCTTGTTGGCCTGACCAACTCCGACTTCAATTTCAGGCCTCAGCTCTAGAGTTGTTTTCCTTTTTTAAAACTGTGCAGGCAGACAAACGCTTCAGGCAGATGAACACTTGAGTTCCTTATTGATATGTTAACCACCTGCACCACAGCAATTTTAACATTTTAATTATTTGTTTTTATCAATTAGTGTTTCCAAACTAAGCTGTAAGCTTCTTGAGGGTAGGGACCATGATTAATCTCATCTTCGCTTCCCCAGCACTTAACACAGTGACTGGTATTGAATATTTTTAATAGGCACTTGAATGAATGCAAAAATAAATTCGTTAACTAGTGAGAATAATGTGCAGGCTAGGGTTTAACTGTAAGCTATAGGTTTTCACTTAAGTACATTTAAAAAAATTGGAAAAAATATAGAATATATTAATGGAAACTTAAGAACAGAAAAGTAATCTCATATTATTTTACCATCCTTTTTTTAATTTTTAAAGATTTTTATTTATTTCTTTGACAGAGAGAGACAGCGAGAGAGGGAACACAAGCAGGGGGAGTGGGAGAGGGAGAAGCAGGCTTCCCGCGGAGCAGGGAGCCTGATGCGGGCTGGATCCCAGGACCCTGGGATCATGACCCTAGCAGAAGGCAGACGCCCAATGACTGAGCCACCCAGGCGCCCCTTTTTTTACCATTCTAATGCCTGTTTCAACACACTTATTATTTACTTTTGATCTTTGCTCAAATATGTGGTAAATAAAAAAATATATATGTATGTATTTATATTTTATGTAGCTAAACTAAAATGTACATGCACTTTCTTATGGTTTTAAGTTTAACTGTAAACATTTTCCAACACTGTGGCAAAGTCATCTAAACTATCATTTTTAACAATGTATAATACTTCATTCCCCTACTTAGGTTGACAGCCTAAAGAGGTCAGGCTGTACTCCGTTTCCTATTATAAATAGGAACAGATCCAGGTTTTGTGGGACTTGAAATTTATACAATTTTGAGAGATGTTTTCAGAAAAGAATAGAAAATTATCTTACTTTTGCAAACCATGAACCCATTCTTAGGGCTCCTCCCAGGGTTTGGAAGGGGCCTGTGAAAGTGAGGCATTCTGAAGGTTAATTTTCATCAGTTTCACGTGATCTAACTCCAATTATAAATAATCCTGCAGTAAGCATTTTGAGCATGTGATTTTTTTCCTCTCTCTTCATTATTTTCCAAGGATTCCAAGTTATTATGACACCGTTCACCTTGAAGAAGTTGAGAAAGGAAATGATCATTTATTGAGCACCTATTATATATTGAGCACTTTATATATATTATTTAACTTAATCCTTACTATAAGCCTGAAGGAGGTATGATCCCCACTTTACAGATGAGGAAACTGAGGTGCAGTGTATGTAAATATCATGTCCAAAGTCACACATCTTGTAAGTGGTGGGGTTTGGATCCTGTTTCAGTCCAAAGCTCATGCCTTCTCTTTTCCACTACCTTGTGGTGTCTCCACAGCCTCGCTAGCTTCACAGTAATATTTTCTAGGCTGCTGCTGAAAAACCTCGTTCTCAGTTACCTGTTTTGAGGAGGCCAGAAGACAAAATTTGCAGTCTTTTTTTTTTCTATGATTTTATTTATTTATTTGAGACAGAGAGACAGATAGTGAGAGAGAGCATGAGTAGGAGGAGAGGGAGAAGCAGACTCGCACGGGGCAGGGAGCCCGACGTGGGATTCAATCCCAGAACTCTTGAGATCATGACTTGAGCCAAAGGCAGACGCTTAACTGACTGAGCCACCCAGGTGTCCCAAAACTTGCAGTCTTGACAGGGTTCTTGGAAGAAGGTGGTTTAAATCAGTGATGGCTAGACTTTCTCAGGTGAATTTAGGAGAAAGTGATTTGACTATTTCTGCCCTCTGTCTGCTAACAGACATGTATCACCTTGGTTCAGCACGCATTTCTTGGAAGAAGCATTATCTGAAGTTGAAAGACCTGGGCTGGGTTCGAATCCTGCTATTCACTACTTGAGTGGCCTTGGTAAGTCATTGAACTCATCATTTTCCTCCCATGTGCAATGAGGATAAGTAACAAAATCTGCCTCACTCCAGGCTAGCTTTGAGTGTCCAATGGGATGATGTATGTGCAAACACCTAGTGAACTCCAATGTTAACTGACGTACAGTAGTGACCCCTTATCTGAGGTTTTGTTTTCCGCAGTTTCATTTACTGGCGGTCAACCACAGTTGGGAAGTAGATGATTCTGACTGTTGTCAAAAGATCAATAGTAGCCTAAGGCTATGTCACAGTACGGCATCATTTCACCTCACCTCATCTCTCATGGAGACATTTTATCATTTCACATCATCACAAGAAGTGGGAGTACAGTACAATAAGATAGTTTGAGAGACCACACACATAACTTCTATTATAGCATATTGTTGTAATTGTTCTATTTTATTGTTAGTTATTGTTGTTAACCTCTTACTGTGCCCAATTTATAAATTAAACTTTATCTTCGGTATGTATGTCTAGGTAAAAACAGTATATACAGGGTTGGGTACTATCCATGGTTTCAGGCATCCACTGGGAGTCTTGTTGGAGGCATCCCCTTATTGATGAGGGGGGACTGCTGCATCAGTAACATTGTGGGAGTGGCTCCATTATCCCCGCCCAGCTGCCTCCAGGTAAGTGCCTGTGACAGCTGGACAGAAAGCACCTGATGGCTCCATTACGGTTAACTCCGGCTGGAGTTCCTTCCTAGGCTGAAGCTGCCACTTCTTTCTACGGGGGGTGTCTGGGCTGTTACACCTGGAAGCCCAGTGCATCAAGGGCAGCAGAAGCTGTGCAAAACCAGTCTGAGATTCTGGTGAATCTTTTCCTCCTCAAGCTGCGAGCTGATCAAAAATGCCAAACACTTACCTATAATCGCAACTTGTAAAATCCCAAACACGGTCCTTACCAATTGTCCCTTTGCTCTGTCTTAGGTGCTGACGCATTTATCTTGGAATTTTACCTGCCAGTTTAGAAATCTGTAGTCCTTGTTGGACCTAATTCTGGGGACAGTCTGTAATCCTGCAAAGCCAGGAGAAAAGAAAAAGCTCTGCTTTGAGTTAGCGTTTGAACATCCTTCACCATATCCCGTTTAAAGCTGGTGTAAGCAGCATTCGTCTTTATTTTCCCTAAAAGAAAAAAGCTTAAGCCCATTTCCAAGCCCGAAGATTGAGCTCATCGCCCCGCGTCGGGACCGGCGCGGCACTCCAAGCACGGCCTGCCGCTCCGCCGGCCGCCCGCCGCCTCCCACACCCCCGGCCCAGGTGTCAGCCAGCGGGTGCCCGGACCTCCACCTGGCTCGGCCGGCGGCGACCGCACAAAGAGCGGAGCAGGCGGCGGCCCGGCCGAGCCGCAGAAAGTAGTCCCGACCACGCCGGGCTGATGTTGTTCGACGTCGCTTCACGCCCTCCGCGGGGAGGGCCGCAGTGGCCGGCCCAGGAAAGAATCCCATAGGAATGCGCCGGCGGGAGACCTTTTCCCTCCAGCTCGCCTCTGCTTGCCTGGCGGATCTCCCGGGGTCTCCAAGCAGAGGCCGTGCGCGCGGTCCCCCACTTTCTTTCGTAGCTGCACGGGAGGCGGCGCCGAGGGAGGGGCTCGCCCGCGCGCAGGAAGACCTTCGCGGCGACCCGTGGCGGCGGTGGGCCCGTGGTATCCCTGCGCCGCTGCGTGAGAGGAAGAGGCTGAATGAGGAGCTGCGCGGGGGAAGCGGGGCGCCGGGGGAGGAGGCGGCGGGATGGAAGCAGACGCTGGCGTCGCGCGAGCCCCGGGCAGAGCGGCGCGGTAGAGAGGGCGGCGGCGGCGGCGCGCGCGGAGCCCTGACGTGCCCCTTTCTTTCTTCTCTCTCTGGAAAGCTGGGAAGCATGAGCGTGCAGACCTGCCGCTGCGGCGGCCGCCCCGGCTCCTCGCTTCCCCCTCTTCTGGCCGCCCCTCGCCGGTGAGAGAAGAGAACGCGAGAAGGGAAGATGGGGGCCGTCCTGAGGAGCCTCCTGGCCTGCAGTTTCTGTGCGCTCCTGAGAGGTGGGAAGGGGGGGTGCGAAAGTTGGTGGGATTTGGGGGGGAGGTGGCCTTGTTTTGTGTGACTGGGGGGAGGGGGAGGGAGGGAGGAGAAGGGGAAGAGGAGCCAGGAGAGGCCTGGTCGTGGGGAAGGAGAGAGAAAGGGGCCCGGGAGAAGGGGCTCTGCGCTCCGCCTGGCCACAATGCAGACCCCTTCCCCGGGTTCCGGCCCTTCCCTGGACAAATCGGAGCCTCAGTCCGGGCTGCTTGTCTAGGTGAATCCCTGGAGCCCCATTCTGTCGCAATGACTGAGGGTCTGTGTGTCTCTTTCTGCCAGGAGTCATCTGGGAGAAGGGTCTTTGTATGTATTTTGGCTTTTAAAATGTTTGAGCCCAAGATGCTTTAACGTTGGTCTCCTCTCTCGAAGCCCCCACCTTTTCCGTGTCTCTTACGTGAACTTTTCGAGCCTTCTTACTATTTTTCTAGGCCTTCTTACTACTGATGATTGGCTTCCGTTGGGGATATAATGATCCTGGGTGAGAGCACAGTTGGAAAGTGACTCCCAGGTTATAGGTCGAGCGTTTCAGCATTGGGATTCTTCTGAGCTTCAGCCCATAATAAAATAGAAACGTTGCCCTCGTAACCCTTGGTATTCAGGACTTGCCCCTATTTTCAGAGCATGCAAGTGTACAGTTGACACTAAGTAGGAAAGTCATCCTTGTGTGAAGAGGAGCCCGTCCTGGGACCTAAGTTATCATTTGCTGCGCTCCCCTGGGGACTGCTTGCACTTTGGTAAATAACATAGGCTATCCTAGATAATTTGTTCGGAGAACCGCATACATTCGATGGCCCTGTAGTTTTTTGAATTGGCCTGTAAAGCTGTCACATACGCTGTGACTTTTATTTTGTGACCGTTCACTAAGGTTTTTGATTGGCCCGCAAGATTTCAACAGCTCTTCTCAAACTTATCAGTGTTGAAGTGGTGATGAGTTTGGTGCTGTTGAGCATTTACCAGCCGAGGAATTTAAGTACGGATCGATGCAATAGCTCTGGCTTTGGTTTTGTTAAAATTCTCATTTGTGTTCATGGTAAATTCTTTTCAGGTATAAGACCTCTTGAGTCTGTGGAGATTTTTTGCTCTTCATTTAACAAGCTAAACTTTTGTTAAGCCTCCAACACTTGCTAAAGTTTACAGGGCACGATAGTAACTCATGATCTTGCACAAATGAGCCCAATATGACATTTCTGTGTGTGTATATTTATTTTGGATGAATGCGATTGACTTTTTTTCTTTAAAAGATTTTTATTTTTATTTATTTGAGACAGAGAATGAGAGACAGAGAGCATGAGAGAGGAGGGTCAGAGGGAGAAGCAGACTCCCTGCCGAGCAGGGAGCCCGATGCGGGACTCGATCCCGGGACTCCAGGATCATGACCTGAGCCGAAGGCAGTCGCTTAACCAACTGAGCCACCCAGGCGCCTGCGATTGACTTTTTTTTTTTTTTTTTTGGGGGGGGATTTTTTTTCCTTTGGTTACTCTTCTGAAGGATTATTACGTTTGCATGTTATATCTACTTATACTTAATAATTATGACTCACTGTAAGCATATTCCAAAGCATTTTCACATGTAACCCCTTAAAGATAGTGCTCACTTAATTTTCTTGGCAGAGAATTTAATGCAGTGTTGTATCTTTGAGAGGTTTAATAAGTGTATGTTTATTTCATTATAGTATACTCTTTGTTGAAAGGGGATATTGCTATAGCTGTGAGAAACGTATTTGACATAAGAATATGTACATTTTTTAAGACAGAAAGTAGAGTTAAATATGAGAGTCAGGTGATTGGTTAAAGTCTTGGGGAAATCGAAGTCCATAACCTGGGATACTTCTGGTTGCCCGGTTGTATTTCTTGGAGGGTAAGAGTGTGATGTAAATGCCATTTGTTTATTTTAACACCAAATTTGAACCTAGAGTTGGGTTTGTTTCCTGGAGTTTAGAAAAGTTGCACTTGAAGTATTAGTTTGAGGTATGGTGTTATGTAACAAGACCTAAAAGACTTAATATTTTAAACTCCCTCATTTCTAAGGGATGAAGGAGTCAGTAGTTTAAACTCCCTCATTTTCTTAGCAAAGTTTGCATAAGTAGACCTCTCATTTTAAATGTAGCATGTTAATGGTATAAGGTGGTCTTTGAATTTAACAGTACTTGACTGTGAGTACATATTATTTGAACCAGAATGGTATTTTGATGTGAAAGATTTTATTCATATTTTAGATTCGTTTCATTCCTCGATAGTGTCATTCTCTGTTACAATAGTGGCATTAGTTAACCTTGGACTCTGAGGAGAAAAATGTGATTAATTTGTTGCATTGAAATAATTTTTTTTTCACAGAGGAGTTGTTAACATTGAGAAGTTAACATTGGGATGATGGGATGATGAGAGGGTTTGGGAGACTTTTTGTTCTGTAGTGCTGTTAAATCAGTATCTGAAGGCCAAGGAATAATGCTGTCATCATCTGGGCTGCATCCCTGTCCCTACCATGGGAGGACAAAGTGTAATGGAAAGATTTGGAGATTTCGACACTAAAATCTTGGGTTCAAAGTCTGTGCTTCTCTACTTAATAACTTTGTGATTCTGGTCTAGTCAATTTCTCTGGGCCTCAGTTTCTTTACCTGTAAAATGTAGGTAGTAATACTGATCTGATTTGCATGTTTAATGGGCATATTAAATGAAATGATGAATATCAGTGATTTGCTAACGTTATTTTTGTTATAATTTTTTATTGTGGACATATCCTCAAATGCTAAGAATTTGAAATTTAATTTGTATGAGGTTTACAAATTCTTACAGGTAGAAGAGATCTTGATCATTCTGTTCTAACAGCTTCATTTGCAAGTGATCAAGCTCCTACAGCTAATTAATGGTAGAGGGATACTAGGGATTTATTAATGGTAGGGATTTATTGTTCATTCTTTTAGCAAATATGTTTGGAATACCTCCTGTATATCAGGCTCTTACGTTATAGTGGTGAGTAAAACACATATGTCCCTGTTCTAATGGACCTAACAATCTGGGTTGTCTTCCTTACTATTCTTTTAGTTCCATCTAGGTACTGATTAGAAAAGATTATGTCTCTGATTTTCTAGAGGAAATATTTTTATAAGAATAAATTTTGGAGTACCATTATGTGTATAATCTGCAAATACTTTGTCTGGGCTTGAGGAGGTTTTGTTGTTTATAAACATTTTCTGCTACTTAGTTTTTAAAAAAGTATATTAGTTTTGGTGGGATGGTGGAAAATACTGTACAGATAAGCCACTAGTGTTTTCCATCTTATAGAAGCGGTCCTTGGAAAAGCTTTTTCTTTAATATCAAATATAAAATCTCGAGGAGGTAGAATGAATTTTGGAGTGGGAATCAGGAGAATTAGATTCTAAGTTTGCCATTAGTTATCTGTGTTGTAACCTTGGATAAGTCCCTTAATCTCTGTACACCTTATTTGCGTGAGGATGATGAATCCTTCTTTCGGAGATGCGTAATTCACATTAACATGTTAAGGGCTCTGAGAGAATGTGAAGTAGAGAGACCAATTTTAATTTTATCTAACCCGGGGTTTTCCAAACTTGATATTTTTTCCATAAATCCTTTTAAATTTCTGCTGAACCTTTGATCCAAGCAACACACTTGGAGAGAGCTGGACTGGATGGCCCTTTGAGCATGAGGTTGATTAGTGTGATTGATATTTGATGATAATTTCATGTACTTGAATTTGATACTTTCATTCCTACTTACTTATTTGGCTTTTGGTTTCCTCATCTGGCTAGGGAAAAATTTGATTGGTTATGTGTAAGGTTATAGCTCATTGTTATCATGAGGCCTAACAGTGATTTCCCATGGTTTGGTTTCTCAGAGACTTTTTTGTTTTGCTATAATTGGAGGTTTTTCCATTTGCTAAACTGAAGTATTCTTCCATACAGTTATACGTGCTTTGGCTATCAGAAAGGACTGTCTTTTTTGAATATCAAAGAAGACTGTGTGGAGGGTATATAAATGGAGAATATTTTATGTGAACTTAAAATTTAAACATATTGGAAAAACACAGTAACCTGTTTAGGTCATGGGTAAATATTCTTGAGAAAATTCAATCTCATCATGGAAGTTTCATTGCAAGTTTATATTCAAAGAAGATTATAAAGTGGGGCACTATAGCAGG